TTGTTAAGGGTCTTTTCTTTGTAGGGAGTGCATTTACTTGCTGTCCAAGAAAAATGTTTGGTCGCTGCCCTATTCATGGAAATGTGTATAAACACGTGAACGATCCAAGCACGGAACAGTGTAATGAAAATGAAACAGCCTCACGAAAGCTAATGAATGAGAAACGATTAAAGCGATTTGATACTACTGCAAGTGCTTGCAGCTTTACCAGACCAGCGGCAGATTGTGCGTCGTCTGTTAAAAACAGAAACATCTCTCCAAAATTTGATCCAGAAAAGATAGCGAAACTTGAACATAAAGAAGACAAGTTAACAACTTCGACTTTTGCATCTAATAACTCGTCGCTACAATCATCTCAAGCTTCTCTTGCTTCGTATAAAATACCCAGGAAAAATCCCACTTCAACATCGAATCTCACAGCTGCTAAAAGCAAGAGCAGGGTAACTTTTAATTTTATGTCCACTAACACCAAATCTAAATCACCTATAAAATCACCTGTAAAAAATTCCGAAAGTAGAATCGCACGCAGAAAGTTAAAAGTACCCGATGTTCCTAAAAAAGGATCTGGAATTTTACATCTGTTGCCACCTGGGGTAGGCAGGTCTCCGCTGAAACAAACTGGAGTAGTTGATACGAATAAACAACTTACGAACAAAAATCCTAATTCAAGGTCTATCACACAATCAACTGTCCCAAACACTTTGAATGTCAGTACTGCAAACACATCTTTGAAAAAAAATCAAGTCCATTCTGGATATGCAAGCAAAGAACGTTTGAGCAAGATCGCTAACTCAAAGTCTACTTCAAGTTCGAATGACCCCAATGAGGGAAGCACTTGTCGAGATTTTGCACCCAGGTATTCATCAGGCCACAGAGAACTTTCCAGCAATCTGAAGGCTGACAGTATTGCTAATGTGAACGATGAGAATTCTTCGCACGATTTAACACCTAGGTCTTCGTCAGGCCAAACTGCGCCCTTTGAACATTCTCGTCCTGTCGCTGTCGTTCGTCCTACGAAAATTGATGAAAATAGTAGTCAAGGAACTTCAAATGATCAAGAGGCTGCGAAAAGACGCAAGGAGGTATGTAATAAATCAGTGGATACAGGACATAGGCTTCTCTAGTTAGGAACAGGATAGGGTTACGATGACAGTTCGGATTATCGTAAGGATTTAAGGTAGGGATTGAAAAATTGATCATGATCATGAATGGTTTCTAAGTCACAATGTAAAGCAAGATTATGAAATTTTGAGGTAATAAAATAATAGGGAGTTTACGATCCACGACGCGGCCGGCTCGACGACGCGCTTTCAAAACAAAGAAATTTGGTGTTTCCACAAACAATAGTATTGTGTGTTTTATCGCCATGCAAACCTACAAAGAACTTACAAATAAATTTGTCATGCAAGACAAAAACTGTCAATAATTTGTGTTCCCATGAGTATTGTCAACCGCGTTGTCATTCTCAACAAAACGTTAAAAAAGCATTTTTACGTCTTTCAGGCAACGTGAAAGCTTAATGCGACACAAGAGGTGTTGCTAAAAGTCGAAATTACAGCAAACATTGCATCGCTTTAGCCGAACAAAATGCTACCATTTTGTAAGGCTATTTGAAAGAGTCAAATATTTATTACAGTAATCGAATTGCTTAGCGCTCATTCTTGAGCTAAAATTTAGACCGCGTCGTTGAGCCGGTCGCGTCGCAGATCGTAAACTCCCTAATATCATGATAACATGTGCAGCAATTATTAAATACTAAGGTAATAGTTAAATCTCTAAATGAAAGACCTATAGACATATATAGTCCTCTCTATATAGAGGATATAGCAGGATTGCCTTTCTGACTCTATAACCATGCAATTTCAAAATGAACATATAATCGCGTAGAATTTAGTTTAGTTTTTTAGAAATTTCTGTATTATTTTTAACAATTAGTCGCCGAAGGCGAGGTGATTACAAGCCTATATTCACTGAGCCGAAGGTGAAGTGAATATAGGCTTGTAATCACCAGGCCTGAGGCGATTAATTGTTTTAGTATAATTTTAGTATTGAAAAAGTTTTATTTATAAACACAGTGCAACTAATACACGTGTTTATTTTGTGAATATAATTTGCATAAATAATTTACTTCCGTCTGATTTTCAGCCATTTTGGCGGGGAAAGCAATAGTTACTGTTCAGAGCAGTCTGAGCAGCAATTATTGCCTGAGAGTTACTACTGAGGGAGCCAATCAGAATGCTCGAAGGTTATTTTTAAATACTGAAATTATACTAATTATTATTTTATTCCGGCTTCTTAGATGCATCATGATTTTAAGTAACGTCGCTATGCCTGGGTGAAAACGTTTATTATAAGTAATAGCATGGCTTGAGGGAGATTAGTGATTAAATGGCCCCGTAACCCGAGGCAGGTTTGCGGAATTCCCGAGGGCGAAGCCCGAGGGAATTCCGTAAACCTGCCGAGGGTAAGGGCTCATTTAATCACTAATCTCCCGAAAAGCCATGCTATTAGTTTGTAATAGCATAGTTGCGCTCCCATTTAAAAATGGACAAACATGCCCTACTTGGAATCAGCGTATTTAAGCTAAAACATTTGCTTCATTGCTTGTGGGATGTAAAAGCTTGTTGCACATGCGCACTTTTTACGCTTTAATCGGTTAAGCATGCGCAATCTATCATTTAACGTACCACAACAAAAACGCTAAATATATTAGTATAAAATTGGCGGCTCTGAGCTAACTGTTGCTGTTCCTTGCACGATTATGTGCGTGAGGCACTTGCCTAATGCGTAGTCGTCAGGGAGACAAAGGTGTGACCGGGCGATTAGTTCTAATCGCCCGCTCTAGCGGGCGATTAGAACTAATCGCCCGCTGTATACTAATCGCCCGCTACAGCGGGCGATTAGTTAGTAATCGACCCTGTTGAAACAAAAGAAACCCGGGCAACTATGCTATTATTATAAGTAATAGCATGGCTTGAGGGAGATTAGTGATTAAATGGCCCCGTAACCCGAGGCAGGTTTGCGGAATTCCCGAGGGCGAAGCCCGAGGAAATTCCGCAAACCTGCCGAGGGTAAGGGGTCATTTAATCACTAATCTCCCGAAAAGCCATGCTATTAGTTTGTAATAGCATAGTTTCGCTCCCATTTAAAAATGGACAAACATGCCCTACTTGGAATCAGCGTATTTAAGCTAAAACATTTGCTTCATTGTTTGTGGGATGTAAAAGCTTGTTGCACATGCGCACTTTTTACGCTTTAATCGGTTACGCATGCGCAATCTATCATTTAACGTACCACAACAAACACGCTAAATATATTAGTATAAATTTGGAGACTGCACGTGCGTAATTTAAATGATGCGGCACCTCAGGGATCGGATGATAGACTATTGACGGCTCTGAGCTAACTGTTGCTGTTCCTTGCACGATTATGTGCGTGAGGCACTTGCCTAATGCGTAGTCGTCAGGAAGACAAAGGTGTGACCCTTGGTAACGGGCGATTAGTTCTAATCGCCCGCTCTAGCGGGCGATTAGAACTAATCGCCCGCTACAGCGGGCGATACGTGATTAAACGTCCCTGTTGAAACAAAAGAAACCCGGGCAACTATGCTATTATTATAAGTAATAGCATGGCTTGAGGGAGATTAGTGATTAAATGGCCCCGTAACCCGAGCCAGGTTTGCGGAATTCCCGAGGGCGAAGCCCGAGGGAATTCCGCAAACCTGCCGAGGGTAAGGGGTCATTTAATCACTAATCTCCCGAAAAGCCATGCTATTAGTTTGTAATAGCATAGTTTCGCTCCCATTTAAAAATAAACAAACATGCCCTACTTGGAATCAGCGTATTTAAGCT